GTGAAGCCAATGGATCAAGTCCTTGGACACAGCATGGCCCCAAACTATGTCTCCCCATACTGCTTTGTTGGGATTGTACTGGTAGAAGAAATGGTACCAACCCTTGTAAAATAATGGACCTGTATAAACAACAACAAAAATCACAAATTACAAATTACTGTTTATAATTTTATTTTATTTTAGTTGTTAGTATTGAAAAAGTCAAGGATTGATTAATTTGATTTTCTTGTTTTTCATGTGAAGTTCATGGCAGCATCATGGAGTTGGCAAAGTTTGATTGCAAAAGTGTCACGCAACTTTTGTTGACATGGCCTCTTGAAATGTCAAATACGTCCTACAAAGTTGGGTGGCAACTTTTTTTGTATATTTTTTTTAAAATGGAAACTTCAAACTATTTGAGGTGTAAATGGATCAAATTAACTGCGGACTATTTGGCTAAATCATGCAATTATAATCCAAACGGTCAGAAGAATACAAGTTTGACAGGTAAATAAACAGAAAATTAGAGATTGCTTACCGTTGGGATCTGAAGCAGCCCGAAGAAGAGTCACCAGTCAAAGCCAACCATAAAGAAAGAAAAATGAATCAATAAAATGTTAACATGTAATTTAATTATAATAAATAACAAGATGAAGAGAGTGTTAGATAGACCCACGCAACAACTTTCTTAGCAACAATTACTTGCAAAGAAAAACTTCTATCAAAGTTCATTTTATCAAAATTGAAGTTTGTGGAGTTAAAGCAAAGAAACCTCCACTCCTTATAGTTTAGATCATCGCTCTCTCTTTATAGTTTAGATCATCGCTCATACTCAAAAAAATAAAACTAAAGTGTCGTAAGTTATCAGTTGTTATTAAATTATTAAAAAGTAACATAATAACAAATCAAAAAAAGTAACATAATAATTATTTTGTCTAATTCTTAAAATTGGCTGCAAAAATCATACTAATTTGTATAGATGTGCGCGTGAAGTTCATTTCAATTGTGCTTCAATAAAGTACAATCACTTTATTCATAAGATAAAAATTTAAACAAAAGTGGAAAATCACTTTTTTGCAACCAAATGAATAGAGAAAATAAATAAAATAATAAGTAATGTTCACCCTTTTTTTTTGGGTCAACTAGAAAGGTTCTCCTTTATCAATCAAACCCACGTGTTTTGATGGTCCATTTCATTTCATTTATGGACCAAAAGTTAAAACCACAAATAAAAAATAAAAATAAAAATAAAAAACCAAGCAATCATTTTGTCCAATCAAAAGAAAAAAAGAAAAAAAAATGCACGTACCATTCATCCAATTCTTTTCAGGCTGAAAATGGAAGGCAGTTCTCTGCCATGACAACATGCTATTGTTCCATGGAAACACCGGCGCTTCCACGTCCCCGGCTAACCGGTTCATCTTCTCAGACACTCCGGCCGGCACGCCCCGAGAAACCGGCCTCAATTTCTGGGGGCTTGCTGTATGAGGTTGTTTAGCCAAAAACAAGGGCTCATGTTTGTTGCTTGCATTATGGGAATTTGGTTCCTTGCCACTTATAATGACCACCAACAGAGAAACCATAAGCAACCCAGAAAAGATTGCTAGGAGCTCCTTCAAGTGCCTCTTCCGGGTCTCCGGGGCTCCATCCGGGTTGGCTCCATTTGGCAGAGGGGTGTAGGTGCAGGGCAGGGTATTGGGATCTGATGGAAGAAAAGGTCTTGGGTCTGCCATATGAGATTGAATGGGTTAAGCTTGAGCTCTTGATGTATTATTGGCTACAAACTGGAATGGGTTTTGTTCATTTCAAATTGGGTCGTTTGGCAGAAAAGAAAAGAAAAAACAGAGAGATTGAGATTTGGGTAATGAGTTTTCAGACAAGTGAATAATGTGTGTTCTGTGTTAATTATTTATATGCGTATGTGCATGAAGGGAGAACATGAGAGGACAAGTGGACAAAAGAGTTGTTTTTGTGCTGAAGAAGTGGACAACAGAGTTTGAAGCGAGTCTCGTGGTGTTTGTTCTAATTGCTACTTTTTTTTTATTTAATAATAATAATGATTCATTTTTGTTACTTTGTTTCACAATGCAAATGGCGTTTGTGGGATGTTTAATTAGGGATAATAAACGTGAAGTAGCAGTAACTCACGTGGTAAATCTGTTGTGGCACAGTGTTTTCAATCAATTAGAGTTTACCCTAGTTTTTATTTCTCTCATCTATGTGATTTTCCAAGAAAAATTTCACGACTTTGTTTCCCATTCCTTGTCAAGTACATATCACATAAATCGGATATTTTAATCGAGAATCAAGGAATTAAAATCGCTTTTTTCTTTCTGGTGTATTGAATGATAGTATAATTTTACTTTCAAATCACGCATTTGTGTGAGTTACTGTAAGCCATTGATAAATACATAATTCTTCAATCAAAATCAAAAAGCGAGTTATTAGTAAGTTTTGGGAGAGTATCATTGAGTTGAGTGATCATCTAATTTACTGGTTTTTGGTTTTAATCGAGAATCAAGGAATTAAAATCGCTTTTTTCTTTCTGGTGTATTGAATGATAGTATAATTTTACTTTCAAATCACACATTTGTGTGAGTTACTGTAAGCCATTGATAAATACATAATTCTTCAATCAAAATCAGAAAGTGAGTTATTAGTAAGTTTTGGGAGAGTATCATTGAGTTGAGTGATCATCTAATTTACTGGTTTTTGGGTTGGGGTGGGTTAATTAAAATTAACTATTGAGAGGTCTAATTAAGGTTTACCATTGGTTGGTTAAACTGGTAGCTCCAAAGACCTGGTTGAGCAGTTTTCAGGTTAACATGGATGCATATAAGTCTTGTAGATTCAGATTTAGAAGGTGACAGCTACCTTATTTAATAATAATAATGATTCATTTTTGTTACTTTGTTTCACAATGCAAATGGCGTTTGTGGGATGTTTAATTAGGGATAATAAACGTGAAGTAGCAGTAACTCACGTGGTAAATCTGTTGTGGCACAGTGTTTTCAATCAATTAGAGTTTACCCTAGTTTTTATTTCTCTCATCTATGTGATTTTCCAAGAAAAATTTCACGACTTTGTTTCCCATTCCTTGTCAAGTACATATCACATAAATCGGATATTTTAATCGAGAATCAAGGAATTAAAATCGCTTTTTTCTTTCTGGTGTATTGAATGATAGTATAATTTTACTTTCAAATCACACATTTGTGTGAGTTACTGTAAGCCATTGATAAATACATAATTCTTCAATCAAAATCAGAAAGTGAGTTATTAGTAAGTTTTGGGAGAGTATCATTGAGTTGAGTGATCATCTAATTTACTGGTTTTTGGGTTGGGGTGGGTTAATTAAAATTAACTATTGAGAGGTCTAATTAAGGTTTACCATTGGTTGGTTAAACTGGTAGCTCCAAAGACCTGGTTGAGCAGTTTTCAGGTTAACATGGATGCATATAAGTCTTGTAGATTCAGATTTAGAAGGTGACAGCTACCTGGCGTGGCCTTAATAATTCGTACCTATCCAATAAATTATTGGACAGCAAATGATGACTCAGCTTGCCTGAGATCCCCGTTTCCTTGGCCATTGTCAAGAAGCCCATTATAATGTTTTGTCTCCCACTAATAATTAGCATTATTGTGGAAAAAACCGAAATGAACAAGACAAACCACCTAAACCAGATCAGGACCCTTTTGTTTTCTAACTCTTAATTTTGTGAGATTGATAATTAATCCAGTTGATTCTGCATGTTTCCACATGCCTGCAGCCTAACCCCCCATATGCTCTCTTGCAGCCTCCACCACATGCAATAATGCAATCGACAGAATCACTACGTAGGGTTAGATTGGAAGATTGATTGGACCATTCATCATTTCTTTTGCTATTTTTTCTTCTTCCAAATGGCAAAAACACTTGATTTCAGCTCTCAATAACCCGAGGACTGCTAATAAAATTCCTTTTGTAACGAAAGCACACCTACCATTTGCCCATGAAGCTTTGAAAAGCACAAGCAGTTGAATTTTACTAGCGTCAATCGTCCACACTTGTCTAGGCGAAATCGTCCATGCGTGTCTAGACGAAATCTAACCGTCAAAACGTTGTGAGTTCTACACGTATTAAGTGGAAGGAACCGTTCACTCATTTCACCGTAACATATCTCGACTTAGTAGTTTGAGTACAAATACATATAACTATTTTTACACATTGAATTTTTGGTCAAATTTAGACACTAACTTATTACACAAAGGAAAATACTTCTCTCATTTCCCCGTATGAGCTTCTACATT